GATAAAGAGAACAATGTATAAAAAAATTATTTTTACAGTATAGTTAGATTTGAATTTATTTCACAAATATTTACGAACAGGAATCAGGCTTGCATTAATTCCAATAAACATGAACCAATAACAAAATTTAATTTATGTTTTACAAAATTATTTCTATTTTTTTCCTCATTACAGGTAAAATTGTTGCGGTCATTAATGAACACTGTGAGCATAAAACATTTGAATTCATCACAGCGTAAACATACATGTAAAACAATGATAATCTAATAAGGCATCTAAATATGTAAAAAAATATTTTATATTTTTGTATTAAAATATTAACTTCGATATCTTCAACGTGTCTATGTTTGGACAGGATTTTAAAAACTCAATAAATTACCGGGTATATCGTGAAGTATAAAAGTGTATGTTTTCAATTCAATTTCTTAAGTTAGGATGAAACCAAAAATACGTGTTTGTTTTATTAATTCTTATTTCCCTTAAAAATACAATTAATAAAACTTACGTACAAAACTTCTTTTGTTGCAACTCTCCGAAGAATAAAATTCTGCAGAAAATCAAACTTTATATAGGGGTAAATTTTAGTTAATCTTTTTTCCTCGTATTTTAAAAATAATTATACGAATTTCCCATTTTTACAATTCATGTCCTTGAAATCGCTAGACCACACCATTTTATAATGAAAAAATCCTACAACAGGTTTTAATAAAAGTTTACATTCACTTTTAATGTAATCATATGGAGCTACAGAGATAATAAACTTATGGGTACTCATTTTGACGTCAACATTTTTCTGAATTGTGTCTTGTTCTTAGTATTGAAAATTACATGTTCTTCAATAATCATAAACATATTCTTCTTTCACAACAGGAAATTGCTCTGTAAAATAACAAGAATAATATACATGTATGAAAAAGAATTAGCTGTAAGCTTTAAATACAAGACGCCCATGGCGTCTTGTCACCTGGTGACAGACACAGATGAATCAAACCACATACCATATGCTGCAACATCTAAATAAAGATATAAGCAGCTGTTATGAATAACAAAAAAGCAGAAATTTATAATTAAAAACTATGTCATTTATTTGGTAATGAAGAAAAATCTAAATACATATATTTCCTTGTAATCTCGAAAAATATCCTGTTATGGTGTAGTTCACTGACCCCAAATTTCCTTTTCATTATATTTTCATAAATAAATAAAATAAACACTCTAGAATAAAATTTAAAAATCACACAAAAAATTTTAATACCCAGGACTATGTTTGAAATACAATTCCAATTGAATTTAATTTTAGAAATGCAAAAACATTTTTTTCTTAAAAGCGTATTTAACCTTGTTCGAATAAATATACATTCTACTCAAGGAGGTAAAATTGTTTTAGTTATCATATATTAAATGAATGTCATAGAGTTATCACATTTAGCACAAATCAATAATAGCGCTCGCGGTGTTTTTGGAAGGTTGGAAGGATGTGAGCTCGAATCTTGACCTCGACTGACCCAAGCTGATAGAAAATGGTTAGTATCTGTTCCTACGCTTCGTTGTCAGCACTTTTAAATGAAATTCTGATAAAGACCTTAAAATCGAGCCCTGTCTCACTACAAAGAATGGATGGACTTTACGCTTTATTTTGAATCTTTTTGCGACTCCTCTTTCAAGCTGTAAATGAAGTGAATCTAAAATATTACGAGCAATGGAAAGAGCTACATATTCTTGGTTATATTAGTTGGAACATTTGTACAAAAACAATTCCCTGTTGCTATTAATCAAACTTGAAGCAATGATACATGAGTGTCGTCTTCCGGAATTCGACCTCTACCCGGAGTGGTTTTGTTGTCACACAATCAATATTTATAGGAGGCGGGGCTATCGATCGGTGTCATTGTTGACATCTCTCTCTATCCCTCCTCTCTCTCTCCAAAAAATCGAATACGCGTTTAGCATATTACAGCGATATGTATTTGAAATTCTTTCTAAAATGTGATGACAGGCAAAGTTAAAACAATATTTAATATGCTAAATTCTGAAAATGGCAACAAAACACGCTCAAAGACATTATTTAGATCGAAGTCAGGTTGAAGAGTACAATGTAACTGTTTTCACGAGTACACTCGCAGGTGGACATCACCTGATGAATTTTAATATTAAACAAGTCAATCGAAGACATAACAATGGAGGCGAGAAGTTTGTTTGGAACATGTTTTTTTGTTAAATTAAGTATCAGCACACGTTTGTCGGCTCTTCTCCTTTTAATATAGCATTATTTTGTTCAATATACAACTACAGTTTTCATAAGAACAGCCGACAAACATGTGCTGACTATGTATTCAGACGATGAAAAACGCGTGACCCTGATTATCTATTGATATTCAAGAAATCGTCAGGCACCATGCCTTCGATATTCATTTAGTTTACCTCGAAAAGAGGGTTTTTGATTCACATCCGTACAAATGGGACCGGATATGCTCTGAAATGATTTTGAAGAATATAAAAGGATTTGCATTGGAAATTACTATCAAATTAAATCAAAACAAACCATTTTGAGATTGCATACCCCTTTTATCCAAAAAAATAATCTGTATGAATACTAAATTCAATTATCATTAATTTTCTTAACGTTTTTTTCTCGATTTCAAATTACAGTCGGAGATTTCTGGATTGTTCCTGGTAAATACACAGAGTTTTGTGTGTTATCCGTGGAAATTCTCTTTAAGTGGTAGGTTTGGAACCACAGTTAAATAATTTCAGAGAAAATTATGAGTTTTCAAAATGATTGATTGTTTGTATTTTGTTTAACGTCCCTCTTGACAATTCCTCATTCGAATGTAGATGCCAATACTTGTCGGCGGAAATTAATAGAATTTTAATTTAAAAAAAATCAAAAAGAAAGAGTGCATGAAACACCTACAGACAGTCCTTGGTTAAGACCTCATTAATATCAGCAATTAACTCCGAAACATAATTAAATGAAAGTGTAATACGACTTGATATATAAATTCAATTCAAAGAATTCGAATAGACATGCGCTAAAATTCAAAGTACACAATGAATTTACGTAAGAAAAAGTCTGTGATTTTTTCCATAAATTAGAATGGATGTGTCCATAAAACAAGAAACCCATCTTTGATTGCTTCTAATTTTATATTGATATAATTAGATAATGCCTCCAATTTTATAACAGTAAGAAATAATACGGGGGAAAAATACTCGAATAATGAAAAGAACGAAGAAAAATTAAATATCAAGGCGAAAATAGATATCAAAAGCAATAGTTGTGATTTTTTAATGAGAAATATTCATCAATCCTTACAAAAATGCAAATGCTCATGTAAGTACAAAAAAGTTTCTAAGTAAATTTATAATTAATACAATCTCCGTTGATACAAAATGAAATGATGGAAAATGATACAATCTTAGCTAGTTTACTACATTATGATTTTTACTTGTTATAACATTTGCGGGTATATGAAATAGTCTAGCTTACGCTGAATTAGCTACCTAGTTCTTCCGAAATAAAAACAAAGCATATAAAAATTAAGAATATTGTCTAATTAGACCGCATTTCTTTTGTCAGAATTAAGGACAATCTCTTTATCCGAAGAAGTGTTTAACCCTTGTATATTTGAATTTATTTTGGTTTAAACATAGCAAGAATTTTTTTAAAATAAAAATTTAGGTCAACATGCAAGATATTCATGTCGATGTGTAAATTATTTATGAATGCATGCAAGATAATTATATGTATATGCGGGTTAATTATGTAGACATGCAACATAATATTCACATGAAAGATAATTATGTCAACCTGCGACTTGTTTAAATGTCAACATGCGACTTATTTTTGTCAACATGCAAGTTGTATTTTTACAAAGAAGATATTTATGTCAACACACACGATAATAATTAGCATATCAACATACATATCTTACAAGTTAACATAATTATCTTGCATGTAGACATAAATAAGTCACATGTTGACAATATAGTCTTGCATGTTCACATAAATAAGTTGTATTTGACATAATTAACTCGCATGTTGACATAAAAAACTTGCATGATTACATATTTATCTTGTAATTTGACATAAATAAGTCACATTTCTGCATAAGTATGTTGCATCTTTCATCAACGAAGTCAGAAACGGGCGTTAGGAAGTAATTTAACTATATTTGAATTATATTTTCTTATTAGATTCAAGCTGGTAACTTGCATATCAACATAATTAACTTGCATGTTGACATATGTTGCATGTCTACATAATTATGTTGCATGTTAACATAATTTATCTTGCATGTAGGGGGCAGAAATATGCCACCATAGTAAACTGATGGAAACACTTGATTTCAATTTACTCTGATCTTAATAAAAATTGCTGGCCATTTTTACATTCTTAATTAATTGACATTAAATCGACCCAAGAGAAATTGATCTAAGACATCCTGAATTATTCTCTTATCTGAAAATAAAATAAACTCAGGACCTTTCATAAGATTTCCGTTAAAAGCACGTTAACAAATAGACACAGAGCTGGGCAGACGAATGACAGACTACAATAAACAAATCAAGTACAGAAAACTATATTAATTTTTATGTGCAAAAAATTTCAACTATATTTCATTTTCACTTTAGATTTTAGACTCATATACATGTATACTTATTCAAAATTATATGGATAAATGAAAGTGTAAACCATGTTTATGAATTGAGCCTGTAAACACGGTGCCGTGTGTAAATAGTAGGATCATGTGATGTACAGTAAAATTTGCCTTACACATTACAATTCATTTTAAATCATGGGGAATAGTACTTAAGGTTAAGTGAAATCTTCGTTCGATAAACTTAAATGTTAATGTTGGATAAAAAATCACTATCTTAAACTCACTTAACAATTTGCATAATCAACTTCAGGATGTGAAACAAGTGGTATCATACAATCATCTCCTTGAAAATTAGATTGTTGTTTTGTTACATGTAACTACTCACACGCTTGTAAAGTGACAACAAATAACGTGACTTGGTTCATTTTTAAGTCCTCCATGCATTTTGTTTTTAATTACATGTTACAGAAATTAGAAGCATTAAAATGTGGAGCATTTTATAGAGGGTCAGTACTACTTTTTAAAGCTTTCATGTTGTTTTCTTTATTTTTTTTTTATTGGGAGCATATTTAAAGTGTATTCACATTGTATCATATTTTATATATTAACGTATAAATCCTAATATGCCTTCATATATGTATTTCCTTTCTTTGAGGATTCTGAAAATCGCAGATTTTAAGAATATTTGTTAAAAACATAAAAGTTGCATAAAGTTAGTTTTTATCTATGTTTATGAGAACTCAAATTCTCTATAAATTGGAAAAGTGACATATTACGGGGGTGCTCTGTTGACGATGGAATCCGATTTACAAGAATAACTAAATAGGTTTTGGAAATCTTTTTGATGGCTAGTGAAAACGTTCAACCAAAACGGGTTAACAAAAGTCTAATTTGGGAGAGAAAACAATTCTTTCAGTTTTTGCTAGATTTTATTTGAAAGATCTGTTTGTACATTTAATTATGAACATTTAAAAAGGAATACCAAGTATCTTAACTGTTCTCAAAAAAGTATAAGCAGTGGTTCCCGAAACTTCTTATCTCTACTTGTACATGCGTGCCTACATGACATAAATTCAACCACTGACAATTCGGATCTCATACATGTATCCAATTCTATCAGATTCTTTAAGTTTAGTGGGTCTAGCAAAAAATCCATACTCAAAACACAGCAAATGAAAAAGAATTATCAATTAACTCTATATAGGTCACTCGACAAATGAGAAAAAACACATACGTCTTCGGATTCTTCTCTTGGATAAATTTGAAAGTCTTCAAGCCAAAAGCCTTGTTTACTATGAAACACTCATACCCCTTTTAGTCAAGTTAATTCTTAATATTTCAAGTAGAAAGAATTTTTTTATTCGCTCATTTTCAATCAAATTATGAAACATAAACATCGATGCTTTCGTTTACTTTTTCTTCGTTGTAGATTAGAGGATCAGCAAATTTATTTGTTAAAAATTCGATATGTCTCTATCTAAGTATTCGTCCACCCAGGAAACAACGAATATTGCTCGACTGGCACGGCTTATACTGGGTCCCTGTACCGACGCATTGCGTGACATTTTGAAAACAGTAGTTTTGCCATCAGATTTGTCGAAAAGAGTTAAAGAATACACAGACAAACAATTTAAACTAAAAAGAAATCCACTCACTAAATCACAATTAGAAATCATTTTCCCTTCACCACAGACAACATACAGTGGGGATTATTCAGAATTTGACATATCTTTATTGTATTTGCTTCTAAGGAATGTTAGTAAAATACCCCCGCATTCGGAAGGTTGGGGAGAAATTCCCAAACCCGGCGATAGAAGTGTTGCAGCAAACATTGAGAGGCTTCGCCTTGTCAGAAACAAATATTACGGACACGCTGCAGATTCATCTCTTTCCGAATCAAATTTTGGAACGGAATGGCGGAACATCCGAGATATCGTTGTAGAACTAGGGTACCACCTTGGAACCTCGGTGAGGTACCAGGACGCCGTCAACACAATAATAACTTGTTCAATGGACCCCGAACAAGAGAAAAAATACATCGAGTTACTTGGAGATGTGAGAGAATTTCATAAAACTGTAGACAATCTTTCAAGTAAGTTGAATTTTAAATTGTGGATCAAGTTCTATGTTTCTGAACACTGTAAAAAATGACGAGTGAAAGTCACTAAGGAGATTAGTAAATTTACCGGTACTGTCCATACAATCACTACATTAAAAGAAGATTTACTATGTATTTGGATATATTTACTAGATAAGATGAGTAATTATATCGAGTTACTTTCATTTGGTATCTAAGTATACAAGCGACCCCCACTCCACAACTCACTATCTTAATCAGTAAACTTAAAGACTTTTAATCACGACAAATGCATTACGAGGTACAATATTAAATTCATTTTTTTCTTTCAGCGAATATACATGTATTGCGTTTTGGAATACTTCCGAATTTTAAAAATGTGTATAACACATATGACTTCTACCGATATCACTTTGCTAATTTTGATAAATTATCCATGATTTACCCTTATTATATTACCTAAGCTTTATATTTTTCAGCTCAAATCCAGACTATCCAGAGAGAGTTGATACTGCCCCAAGGTAATAAACGCATGCTAATTAAATTCACATATGACCTGTTAAAATGGCTTGTAGAGCACCATTAATATACAGTACTAACCAGATACATAAACTAACATACTAGGTATCCCAAGAAAGTCCCATCGACTAAGGTCTAAGAATCCAAGAAATCTCAGGGACTTTCTAGGTTTGTTCATTCACGCGTGGAAAATTTCAAAAGACAAAAAAGCTCATCCTTTATGTATCTGAATTTTGGTTTTTTATTTTTATTTTAATTCATTTGCAGCAAAAAAATGGCGGCTAGTGTTTTTTTTAATACAAAAAATATATACGGCAAAATAGATAGAAAATACCGGTATTTCATACTAAAATCAATATCTTATCATATCAGCTCGAGTGGCTCCATATCAGCCCGAGGGATGTTGTGACATATGATATGGATTTAAGTATGTAATATTCTATTTATCATATATTCAAAATAATTAATATACGAGCACACATGATATGATCATTGAAGAATGTTTTGTGCCTATTTATGACCTTTTTGTTGAAAATCCAGTAGAGCCAATTTTAGATTACAGAAAAAACTAAAACGGCAAATGGCATTCAAGAATTATTTCACCTGAATATTTAAATAAATTCAAGTAAATTAACTTTTAAACTTTATTCAAGTGTTACTTCCGGTTTGATATGGATTTTCTAACTGTCGGTCCAATACTTGATATGGATTTTCGGACTAATCCTTGATATGGGGTATTGTGACGTCACACGTATCGCATCGTGTAGAATCGGTGTATTTAATACTAAGTAAATGATCAGGAGAGAATTTCTACTGAAGAAAATATTCTAAATGTATGAACCGACGATTCGGGGGGGGGGGGGGGGGGTTAAAATAATCTCAAGTGGTTTTCAGAGTTACCCCTTTATAGTATTGTCGGATAGAATCAAATAGCAATTTTTTTAGTATAAATATTTGTTTTTGTAGTAAGTAAAACGCAGTAGATTTATGTTTTGTAATCCATTAAACACGTGTACTAGAAAGAGAACTTTTCTGCCATCAAAGTTACTTGACTTGAAGTGACGCTATTCATGATACTTTCAAGTTTCATATTATAAAAACAAGATTGAACTTCCCTGTTTTATCAAGTGTCATCAATTTCCGCCGTTTTGTGTTAGTCATCATTGCAACTACTCTACCAAGCGTTATGATTTGCTAGCTTAGATTTTATTGAAGCTAACACTACATATGTACTAAATTATTAATTTATATTTTCAGTTTTTAATTAAGATAACTATTAGATGACTTTTTTGTTGTTTACAACGAGGCGTGCAATATTGAACGCTCGTATTTTCAATGTGCTGAACATATACGTAATACAAACAACGTTCATTACACCGCCAAGATATTGAATCCTTAAACCTCTTGACCTTAATTAGATTGGTAGATTTTTTAAATAATATTCATTACTTATATATACAACAACAAAATAATGAATTGCTTTTTTTTCTTTGTAGATCCAAGAATTGCTAAAATGATCGGTTTGTAAATTTTGAGTCACATTGGGTGTAATTTGAAAACCTATGTGTTGCTTCATTCATTCAATTCTAATTGCATATAATGAGAATATTTACTTGCATTACTTGAAATTTGACAAGCATGCAGTAATTTCCTCTGTTTAAAATTATAAAGAAGAATATGTATGTTAATAAATGACAAAAGTAGAAGCGGATATCAAAAACATGACCTAGATATTTCAGGCAGGAATAAAAAAAAATGTACGACAATATTCTTCACTTTAGGAAATATCTGTTATCGGTGCAAGCTGTTTTATTTTTTATGAGTATGTAAGTTAAATCGAAAAGCGTAAATAGGGAATGAAAATGAAAGCTGTTAACAAATTAAATTTTGGGAAGAAAAAGATCCCTTATTAAGTATTTTTTTTTAGAAGGGATTCTTTTTTTCATTATTTTAGAAACAACCCGAAAAATGATAACGATGCATCATGAAGATATAAGCCATTGATTAGTAATAACTCATGCATTTGACAAAGCAAAGGAGCTGATAAATACTAATGGCTTCGTGGTTCTTAAGGGAAACCCCGAAACTGGAAAAACAACGATTGCCAAATATTTATTGAAGCAACTAATGGAGGACGGAAAACCTCCTCTTCAACTAAATAAATTCTCAGACTTGTAGGGAAGCATTTCACCCGGAAATGGTATTGTAGTTTATATTGATAATGTGTTTGGGGAATGGTCTTTTTTGAACAGTGATGCTCAAGAATTTACATCAACAACCGAGAAAATAAAAGCCTTGACAAAATGCGACAAGAAATGATGTTTATCAGGAATATAAAAGCAATGGGAGGGAAAACATTGATGCATTTTTTCGGTCATCAATGATTGATCTATCAAATAACTCATATGCATTGCGAAAAGAAGAAATTCTTCAGATGTCAAAAAAATACAATTTATGTGAATACATAAAGGATAATGACCTTCTAATCAAGGTTGATAAAAAGCCTATATCGATAGGATTTCCACAATGTTGTAATCTAGCCAGAAATAATGAAGTCATTAAACAGAAAATATCAGAGTTTCTTATGGAACCTATGACTTTTTTGAGTGACTACTTCAGGAATCTTGTGAAACATCGGACTGCAAAAGTTGCCGTACTTGTATATCTTCTCCTTCGAGGCGGAAAAGTGGAATTCAAAGTAATCGAGCAACCTCACGTAGACATAGAGACCAAGGGTGTCGCTCAAAAATTTGTGGGTCTAAAGGCGTCTTGTGTGAATGACTTCCAAGATAGTATTGATTGTTATGATGGGTTTTTGGTCATTCGAGATTCGATGGAAAATATCTGTAGGTTCTCCCATAGCTCAGTACAAGAGTCTCTTTTTATTGCCCTGTTTTATTTTGATCCTAAACGTATGATACAGGATTGTCACCATTCCTTACTACAAAAATTGTCAACAAGTGAATGCCAAACTGATACACAAGTTTTAATTGGGCAAAATTTATTTAATGATAATGCATCTCGAGTTGCTAAAATCATTTCAAAAAAGGTTGTAACTGAATATGAGTCGATATCTTTGTTGGCATTATGGAAGGATTCAACCTTTAATGAACACATGTTAGCATCAACGCCTTGTATCTCTTCATTTAAAAGTTGTTCTGATACGAACGGGGATTCAATGATGGTGCATTTTTCGATAGCTGGAAATAAGCGATGGGTAGAATACTTACTTCCAAATTCTAATAAAGATCAAAGATATCGGTCACTAAACGCTGCTTGCTCAAAAAATCAATACGATATTTTCAATCTTATTTTATCTTCTGATGTGAGATGTGTGATCCAAACATGCTTTAATGCCGTAGAAAGTGGTAATTTAGAATTACTACTTGAAGTGTGTGCATCTGCAGATCTTCCTCAAACATGGTATACAGTTAACCCATTGTGGAGTCGAGGCAGACACAGCTTACAGGAAATATGTCTTAAGCGGCGTATACAGTTTATTGAACCCATTCTTTCAAAATATCCCTTTCTTTTGCATATTACAGAAAACCAGGGTTTTGATGCATTACAATACGTTGCTTTTTGGGGACGAGTATGCATTCGAAATACTTCTGAAATTTGGCTCTGATCCGTATGTTAAAGACTAACACTTGTCATACGATTCTCATAGGCGCATGCCTAGGCGGAAGAATAAATTTCGTTAAGTATCTCATTAAAAAAATATCCTGCATTACTCCATTACCATTCAGATAATCATGGAAAAAGTATCTTGTACTGGGCAGCTTTCTCTGGGAAAATTGATGTGTTTGAATATATATTAAATCTTTTCGAGGAAGGAAATAGGATGTCACTTTCATCAGGTAGGAAAAAACCTAACGCAAATGGAACAGATATATCAGGACAATCTGTTCTAAACGTTGCGTGTGAAAATGGTCATTATGAGATGTGTGATTATCTTTCTAAAAAATACCCTGGGCTTCTGAATGTTTGTGACAAAAATGGAGTAAATGTCCTTCATTCTGCGTCGTTAGGGGGAAGTGTATCTCTTTTTCGGTACTTATCAAAAAGATTTCTAAATATTTCTTCTACAACTGATAGTGGAAAGACTGTGTTGCATATATGTTGCGAAAGAGGTAAATATATGAAAATGTTGAAATATCTGGTTCAAAGGCATCCTTATTTATTATACGTCACAGATCAGGGAGGATGGACTGTGTTACATTCAGTTTGCTCTGGTGGGAATGTTGAAGTGCTTTCTTTTCTTGTCACAAAAGGTATGGATCTTTTTACATTGACAAATGATGGTAAAAGTATCCTGCATATTGCTTGTTTCAGTAAAAAATATGAGATGTGTGAGTATCTTGTCGACCATTATCCTGTTTTATTGAAGACAAGAGACAAAAATGGATGGACAGTATTACATGTCGCTTCCTTTGTTCAGGATTTGAACTTCTTAAGATATCTTCTTACGAAAGATATAGACATCACTGCAGAAGATAACGAAAGGAAAAATGTTCTTCACATTGCTTGTTTGAAAGGAAATATTAAAATTTGTCAGTTCCTGATAAAATATTCTCCAGAATTGCTTCATAAAAAGGATCTTTACGGCCACACTCTTCTCCATTGTGCCAAGGAAGCAGAGAAGTTGGAACTAGTTGAGTATTTAAATGGTCTTGAACATGCTTCTAGTAATAAGTCATGGAAGACAAGTACTGGCTGTTTCTCTTTTTTTAGGTCCAAAAGGCGTTGAATATTCGTAAAATGTGTGGTTTTCAATGCAAGTACCCTGTGTCTGTGTTTTCCTGAATTCGCAAGCTTCGAAATTCTTTACAGTTTTATTTACTTGAAATGTTTCAAGACTGATTCTGAGTTGTAAAAATCGCATTATGAATTCATTTTATCTGATTATAAAACCAATTCAATACACCGGGGAACCGTTGTTTTCATCAATATATTTTTCCTATTTCTTTCAAATGATACATTTTTATTGTGTTAATAACTTACGGCAAAGACGGTTGATTTAAGTGCAATTTTTTTAAATATTTTAATTCTTAGCGGAGAGAGAACTTCAAGTTAATTTTTTTTTAAATATTTGTTTTAACAAAATTTAAAGAAGGAATTAAATGGTTTTTGTTTATCAGTATTTACTGTGTACTTATTCATTTTTTTACATATGGAATTTGAGGTCCGTGTTCAATATTTATATTTCCTATTACATGCAGCATGATACATATCTATCAAATAACAAAAAATAGCGTTGTTTTTTTATGAAAGAGGGAGCTAGAGAAAGAGTCAAATTTTCAGTTAAGGTCTTTTTATAGAAAAATAATGTATAGATGTGACAGACCGTGCTGCATCTCTTACCTGGATTTTACTGGATACATCGAGTCGTCAACATTTTTTTCACACTTTCAAGAATAAAATATTTTTGTAACTCTAGTTATATATTTTCCCATGTGTTTGCAAACAAAGTCTAAAGCATAAAAACATTTCCCGTGTTTTCCTTTAATTTTAAGGAACCGACAAATTTCAGACTTTATACAATTTTTTTCTGTTTTTTATGCCCTCCCCCCTACAGGAAGTTTTGGGCCCGGAGTATATGGTTTTTGTCGTGTCCGTAAGTCTGTCTGTCTCTCTGTCGGTCTGTCTGTTTATCCGCAAAAACTTTATCCTTATCCATAACTTTTGATTTGGATTGAATTTCATGTTTCACATGTGTATTCCTTGTGAAAAGACCTTTCTTTGGGTATTACCAAATAACTAATCAAATGTATATAATTCAATGAATGATGAATCAGGATAAAAATATACAATAGCTGCTTATATAAACGATGGAGATGAAGAGCAAACGGCCAAACATGCCATCAACCATAATTGAGTATTTTATGTAATTTGTAGACTATATTGAAGAGGTCCGAGGAAAGACTAATAAAGTGTCAGGTTGTGTTTACAATTTTCTCGTGTAGCGCCTGCTGTAAGCTTACCATTTAAAAAAACATCACAGATACAAAAGAACAACGTCATTCCAGTTGAATGTGAGTTCATTTTTGATACAGTTGTTCTCTGGATCTTGTGAGTTGGTTTTTGCTGTAAGGAATATTTGTATGACTCTATTGATTCTGCATATTTTCCATAAGTTTGGTGGCAGTTTCCCATTATTTGCCATGAAATATTCATTAGATAAACAGGGATAAAAAAAACCAATACACTCCAGTTAAAAGTCTTGATATCCCTTAGATATTCTTGTGTCCTGTCTGTGTCACTCAATTTATGGTGATTCAGTACTAACAACTAACAACATTCCATCGGAATAAGAGTGTTTTTTGGGATATGATAGAGATTGACCTGAGAGAGATCACATATGACCTTGTGGTCTGGAGGCCAAAGCATGAAATTATCATCTGAAGTCCTCAGTCTGAATCCCTCACGTTCACTTCCACTTCTCAGTCTATCTAATCCCTTCGGTATGTGCATCGGTTTATTGACAACCTCCGTGGTGTCCATCACTTCTCTCCTGATCCTGACTTCTGTAGGACTTCCTATTCAACGACACAGTCCCACATAGACTGCCTCTGAAAGTCGAGGTATGTAATACATCCTGGTGCTTTGTGAGATTAACAATTAATACAGAACTGAAATAGATAAAAATATCAAGTGATTTTTCTTATTACCCCATACAAATATTTGTCTTTTATGTTTGATTCTTTGGGACCTGATGTATGTTAAGGCCTCTATAAAAATATATATTCATATCTGCAGTAGAAAATAGATATATTATTCGCATAATCCCCAAAACGAAATAGATTTTAAAAAATTTATTCCTTACTATTTTTTTTTTCAATAAAAAGTTCAAAATACGAAAAAAATGAAAGTGTTATCCTCATTTTCTTCAATTGAAACAGTGTATTGCTAATACAGTGGCTGGAACGTTATTGTTGACAACTTACACGAACGATCACGTTACACGAACGATTCCGCACGATTAACGCACGATTAAACCTATTACACGAACGGTCTTTCACGTTCACGATTCTACACGTTACACGATCTTACACGATTGTTAACGCAAACGCACGATTCTTCACCCAAAATAGTACAAATTATTTAGGAATCAATATTTTCAAAACGAAATACGGCTACATGTAATGACTTAAGATTTCAAAGAATTATCAATTTTATTTCATAGACGTAACGAAAAACGGAAAATGATATTAATATTTTCTGTAACTTAATATATGCAAGACTTAAAATGTTAGATTAAAAATAATTATTTCTAAGATAATTCTCCGATTTA